GGAGGAGGCGCGCTTCCCTCCGGCCAAGAGATTCCGACTCGGCTCCGGGCCCCCGAGCCGCGCCGGGTCGTGCCCTCCCGGGCGGCGAGTAGTAATGCTGCTGACGGCGGGCGGCGGCGGCAGAGGCGGCGGCGGCAGCGGAGGAGGAGGAGGAGGAGGAGGAGGAGGTCGCAGGCAGCAGCCGCCCCTGGCCCAGCCTTCAGCCAGTCCCTACCGTGAGGCCCTGGAGCTGCAGCGCCGGAGTCTGCCCATCTTCCAGGCGCGGGGGCAGCTGCTGGCCCAGCTTCGCAACCTGGACAGTGCTGTCCTCATCGGTGAGTGGCTGTGCCAGGGGGCCCTTCGTTGCTCGCCCTTCCTGCTTTTACGAGAACAACTTTTCGCAGACGCCACTTGGGCTTTTGCAGTCGTTTCTCCAACAGCCTCGATCGCCTTTCCTGTGGCAGGCCCCGAGAGGGACTGCCGGAGAAAGAGTCGGACTGCGCCGATTTGGGGGTGCTGGCAGCCCAGAGGGAGTGACGGGCGTGTCGCATGGATTCACCTTCCGTGAAAGGGTAGAGGGATATGCCAAGGGTTTCGGAAGCTTCGGGTAGTCGATCTAACCCAGTCTGTGAAGAGGCAGCCGAAGCGGTGGTCTCAGAGAGAAGATATTCTCTGTAGACGGAAGAGCCTGCCTGCGGGACTGGGAACTAGAAAGTGTGGTGGGACAGAAATTTTCTGGTGCATATAGAGTTTGTGGAGCGGGGACTGATTTCAGAGGGCTTGGATCCCTAAAATTTAAGAAACAGGAATTCCTGGCAGGCGCTTGTGCCACTGAGCTATGTCCCTGGCCCGAAACAGGAATTCCTGAAGGACAGAAAGGATGAGCTGCCCGAGAGGAGAGGAGACCGGGAGTGCTGGAAGTCAGAGATGAGCTGGTAGTCAGAGTGAACCGATGCAGTGTAAGGTCCAGTCACCTGTGGACCCCTCCCTCAGAAAAATTACCCACTGGATTTGGATGCCAGCCACTGACTGTGGATGCCAGCCACTGATTGTGGATTCCATTGAGAGCTATTTCAAGAGATCATGACTGTACATTGTGCTGAGGAATAAGAGGTGAGAGAAGAAATGCAGAAGTAGACTTCTGTTTTGAGAAAGAGAGATTAAGAGGAACTTGCAGGTATTTAGAGGTTAAGGGGAAGAACTCAGCAGAGGAGGCTGAAAAGGGAATGGAGCGAATGGTACAAAAATCAGGAGGCGGAGGGAAGGGGGCCCTTGGGAGCAAGGGCTGGATGGCGTGCTGGCCTGGAGTAGGAAGGCCATCGCAGAGACTGGGGGCCTGGGGAGAGAATGGAGTGATTGCAGAAATGCTGGTAGGAAGAGGTTGAGGAAGATCGAATTTGAGAAATTTTTCTATGAGACAAGTGCAGGAGTTCTGCTGAGAATAGGAGTCCCATGGCCTCGAGTAGGTCGTGGGGAATATAGAGGTGGAAGACAGGCTGCAAAACCAGGAACAAGATTGGTTGAGTTGGATGGTTGAGTTGGTTCCTAGGTGTATTTGGGCCCCTATTACTACTTAGTGGGGTTATTTTGCTTTAACAATACGCGATTGTGTTAGTATGGGAGTAGGGAAGATGCAGAGAGGGACACAGATGTAACTTAGCCGTTGTGTCTGGTGGATTGCAGAATAAGCCAATTCTTAGTCTGTGATTATTGGCTGGCTCAGACAGGATGAGCAGTTAGAAGAGTTGATGACTGGAAGAAAATGCAAGAATAACAGGACTGTAGAGCTCAGTGAGGTTAAAGGTTAACAGTAGCAAGGGAGGAAGAGGATGCACAGATTTCTTGAGTTCTTCGTTCTAGTTCACCACTGTTAAAGGGACTCACAATGGTAGGAAATGACATTTATTGGATGCTTACTCTGTGCAGGAAATTTAACTCCACAAAGAGACAGAGACTTGCTTTGCCCTCTGGAAGTTTCTGGTGTTAGAAGACAGAAACATTTAAACCCTTCTATACAGCATAGGGTGGTCAGCGGTAAGAAAGAGGCCGATAAGGCACCGAGGAGTCCAGATGAGGCCACCTCTGCAGTCCCAGGGGGAAGATTTGACCTGCTCATCTTGGAGTTTGTGGGCAGAGGCCTGAGGCAGGTATTATATTTGTAATACTGTGGGCAAAGGCAGAGGGTTTGAAAGAAGGCAGAACAGGGAATAATGATGATAAGTCTGTTATGGCTGCAGTGTCTGAGTGCGAGTACTTATCTATATATTTGACAATCATATCTCCCCTGCCAAGTACTGGGGTTGAACCTAGGGCCTTATACTGCTAGGCGAGCACTCTACCACTGATCTACAACCCAGCCTCTCTTTTTTTTTTTTTTTTTTGAGGTACGGTCTTTCTACATTGCCCAGGCTGGCCTCCTGCCTGAGGCTCCTGAGTAGCTAGGATTACAGATATGCACCACCACAGCTGGCTGAACGAGGCATTTTAAATTATTTTTTTATAATCAGCTGAGTGTCATGGCACATACCTATAATCCTAGCATTTGAGAGCTTGAGCCAAGAGAATCCTGAGTTTGAGACCAGCCTGGGCTACATAGTGAGGTTTTTTATTTCCTTCTTTTTCTTTTTTTTTTTTAATTTTAAGAAATAAAAGAAGGAAAACATATTATCAAACAGACATCCATTTACAAAATAGCAGAAGAACAATACAAACAAAACAGAGTTACAGACAAAGTTGTAGGAAATTAACAATGGTTGTTGAATTACTTATTGATATCTTCAAAGTGGTTTCTCAAGAAAAGAAATAGAGACATAAACAAGATTGATCAAACAAGTAATCAATCATTAACTGTTCTTTCTGTAGAGCAATAGAAGACTACTGTCTTCTCTTTAGTTTTTTGAGACCAGGTCTCACTATGTACTTCAGGCTGGCCTTGAACTCACTGTCTTGCCCAGGCTGGCCTCCAAATCATGGCAATCTTCCTGCCTCAGCCTCCCAAGTGCTAGGATTACAAGCATGTGCCGCCATGCCCAGCAAATAGTGAATCTGAGATTAGTCTGAGCAACATAGTAAGACCTGTCCCCCCAAAAATAAAATAAAATCTGTTCTTGCAAGTGCAATTGTGGATCATATGGAATAAAACATTTTAAAGAGTTTTCAAATATAATTTTTTCTCCCATGAAGGAGTATCAATGAATACTCCCTGGCATACATACAAGTGTCCATTCTCCTGCTACCTTACTAACTCAATATTTTTTAAACTGTTTTCTTTTGACTTCGAGCTGTTTGTTTGTTAGGTGAACATTGTGTGAATTTGCATTTAAGTGAAATTTCTTTTGATTTCCTAGGGGAAACTGGCTCTGGGAAGACAACTCAGATCCCTCAATACCTCTATGAAGCGGGTGTTGGCCGCCAGGGCATCATTGGTGTGACTCAGCCCCGTCGAGTGGCTGCCATTTCTCTTGCTACTAGAGTCTCGGATGAGAAGAGAACTGAACTTGGAAAGCTGGTACTTCATTTCCTTTTTTACCATCAATACCTCTTTACTAAACAGTGCTCCTACCAGGCCCTTTGCCTTTTGTTTTCTGAATAAGACTTACATAGCAAGCATCTTTCTTGCCACAGCTGTTTAGACTAATCTCAGAGTTCTTTCCTAGTTGTGGACAAATCAGACTCTAACATTCCCTTAGTCCCATTTGCTCTGCTTTCAAAAGCTGTTGGCAAGTTGGATAAATTAGTATCTTTAAGGCTTCTATTAAATCTCCTATCTGTAAATTTTTCTAGAAAAAAAATTTTTTGAGACAAGGTCTCGCTATGTAATTCAGATTGGCCTTAAATTCATTATGTAGCTCAAGCTGGCCTTGAACTCATGATGATGCTATTGCTTCAGCCTCTCGAGTGCTGAGATTTTAGGCATGTGCCTTTATGCTCGGCATTTCTAGAAAAATTATAATAATAGCATCATTTTAGCACATATGTAGGTATTTAGATGGGTTACAGAACGGTATAGAAGATGTGTGTGTGTGTGTGTGTGTGTGTGTGTGTGTGTGTACACTAACATAAAAACATCCTGGACATTTTTTTATTTCTGTGTATAGCTTCCTATAAAACTATTAAGTAGCTTGAGAGAGGATGTTAATTCAAAAAAATTTTTATTGGTTCTTTTGTGACAGGGTCTCACTGTGCAGTTCAGCTTGGCCTTGAACTCACTTTGTAGCCCAGGCTGGCCTTGAACTCACAGCAATCCTCCTGCCTCAGCCTCCCAAGTGCTGGGATTACAGGCATATGCCACCACACCCAGCTTCTTTTATTTTTATTAAAAATAAAATTATGCAGTATGTAATGGTTACATTCATTGTGGGGAGTTGGTGCATGTACCTTAAATTCTATGTCATACTTAACATTATAGCAGTCAAAGGTTGTATCAGTGTCTGTCTCCCCGGCTACACCACATGCTCACTGAGGGAGCAGGGCAGGGTGGTGTTGGTCTGCGCACTGCGATAGTGCAAGTGCCTAGCACAGGGCTGGATAAGCAGTGCTACTCAACAAGTGTTCGGTGCATGAATGAGTCGTTTTGTCACATAGGTTGGCTATACAGTGCGCTTTGAGGATGTGACCTCTGAAGACACCAGGATCAAGTTCCTAACAGATGGTATGCTTCTGCGTGAAGCAATTTCAGACTCCCTGCTTCGGAAGTACAGCTGTATCATTTTGGACGAAGCCCATGAGAGGACTATCCACACAGATGTGCTCTTCGGAGTGGTGAAAGCAGCACAGAAGAGGCGAAAGGAGCTGGGGAAACTGCCCCTCAAAGTATGTGCTGCATACTTAAGGAAACGGGCTTGTGTTTCTTTCTCAGGGCATTTTTCTGTACTCATTCCGCGTTAGAAGCAGGGGGGAAGTTAAACAGTGTGAGTAGAGCAGCAGCCTTCAGCCATCTGCTTTCGCATTTGGGAGGGACACAGGAAGGCCGTACCGTGCTTGTTACCCATCCTCCTCATCCTCTTATATAGGTGGTGGTGATGTCAGCTACGATGGATGTGGACCTGTTTTCTCAGTATTTCAATGGAGCACCTGTCCTCTATCTGGAGGGTCGGCAGCATCCAATCCAGATTTTTTATACCAAACAGCCTCAGCATGATTATTTGCACGCAGCTCTTGTCTCGGTCTTCCAGATACACCAGGTATGGAAAAGGGTGCAAATTCCTGACAAGTTCTGGTTTACCTTGCAGTTAGTAGTGACAGCATTCAGCCTCAGAAGGAACACCTACTAAGCATCACAGCTTTGTCAGCTGTGTCCTCAAGATGAAGAAAGAGCTAGGCACAGTGGTATACACCTGTAGTTGCAGCCACTCAGGAGGCTGAGGCAGGAGGACTGAAAATGCAAGGTCATCCTGGTTTAGTGATACCTTGTCTCAGAATAAAAAATAAATAGGATTGGGTAGTAGAGCACTTGTGTAACACGAGAAAAGCCCTAGGTTTAGTCCCCAGCACCACCCCTCCTACCCATGCCACGTACATGGAATGAATAAGGAGTCATTTGCTATACATAGTGTTTTAGTTACTTTTGTCGTTGTTAAGACAAAATACCTGACACCCAAAGCTAAAGGAGGAAAGACTTATTTTGGTTCACAGTTTGTAGAGGTTTCACTTCATAGTTGGCTGGCTCCAAGGCAGGGTGGCGTGGCAGACGGGCATCGCAGAGGAGAAATAGTTCATGGCAGTTAGAAGCAGCAGAGTAGCAAAGAAGCAGCAGCAAGCAATGGCAACAGCCCTCTTTTTGTCCCTTATATTCTATCCAGGCTATACACCTTAGGGCAGGTAGCACTCACACCCAGGGTGGACTTCCCATTATCCATACCCAGAACTATGCCAAACCAATCACTGGACCAATTTAGTACTCACACACCCTTGGTCTCAGCATCACGTACTCAAGATCCAGTCACCACTGAAAAGCCCTGCCCATGACCACATGAGGCTTTAGGGGAACATTTAACAAGCTTTTCTTTTTTGTCTTTTTGAGACAAGGTTTTGCTATGTAGTTCAGGCTGCCATTGAACTCACTGTGTAGTGTAAGCTGTCTTCAGTGATCCTCCTGCCTCAGCCTTCGAAGTGCTGGGATTACAGGTGTGTGGCACCACACATTCAAACACGGTGTTTGTTTTCCTAGGGTCGTTTATGCTGCTGTCCACTTGGGACAGTTGTCCCACCTAAGCTTCTGTACAACTGTTGTCCTGACTGTCCCTCGCCATCCTCTTGCAGTAAAGCCCATTGTGGCCTCCTGTGGCTTTCTTGCCTGTCTGTACTGGATAGAAGAGGGAACCTGGGGTTTTAACCAGAAAACACTCAGACTCTGAGCTGCTTTGATATTTTTTCCCATACTCTCCCACAATGTGCCCTTGAGTCCTGAGCTTTTCTGGATCTTCCAGGGAAATCAGCTCATTTCTTAGCACTCTCAGGAAAGAGCTGTAGCTTCCCAGACTTCAGCTTTCCCTACCCAGCCAAGTAATTCAGCCACTGTCCCCCATCTTTTATATCTTTCAAGAATGAACTAAACCCTCTCATCTCCCATTGTCTTTATTATTTGGGGATGATGACGTTTATTGTCAAGTTTACAGTATTTGAGGAAGAAAAGGTCAGTCTAACTTTTTTAACTGCCAAAAGCAAACTTGAGATGAATATGTTTCATGAATAGTGGTCTACCAGAGGCACCGGGAGTACGTCAAGTCACTGATTGGAGCAAACTTGCACCACTTCAACCTTGGCCCGAGTCTCCCTAGCTTTGACTACTGCCCAGACAGGTTTGGTACTGGCCTTCCCGAAGTCATAGTACAGAAATCTGTATCAGTCAGGGTTTACTAGAGAAACAGATATAACACAAGATACACAAATGTACAAGAAATTACAAGTTTGGCTTACAGTGATCAGCCATAGAGTTGGATGAGGAAGCGTGCAGAGGGTGTCTGCACGCTGGAGATTGAAGAGCCCAGTCCAAGGCCTGGAGGTCACTTCAGTGTCTTTGCAAGTCTTATCAGGAGGCTGATGGGTCTGTGATGGAATGCTGAAGAATCTACAGCAAAGGCCGAAGGGTCTACACCAGAAGCATGAAGAGTCCCAGGTAGAAGCCAAACAGTCTGCACCATAAGCCAGGAGATGACCAAGCTGAAGGTGAAGATGAGCTCCTCTGAAGAACCAACAGCCAGTCCTTTCTCAATTCCCTTTTTTTATGCAGTCTACCTGCTCTGGGGGTGTGGGGGTCATCCTCTACACCCACACTCTGCATGCCTTCCTCTTGCACAGGCTCAGGATGAATACAAAGTAAGCACCCTGGGGCCAGGGATATGGCTCAGCGGCACAGTGCCTGCCTAGCAAGCACAAGGTCCTGAGTTCGATTCCCGGTACCAAAAAAAAAAACAAAGTAAGCACCCTGGCTCCCTGCTGGGTCACATGGTTAACCTTCTAAACTTCTCAGGTTGACAGTGAACAATATCCCAGAGTATAAGGGCATGTCCTTTTCACCCCAAGATGCAGAACTGCTGAGTCACTTAGCCAAGCCTCTAGACTCCTCAAGTTGACACAGTGTATCAACCATGACAGTCCTGTGGTTCCATGTCTAGCAGTCAGGACAGTTCCTGCAAGAGATGAACTCCAAAGGGTTTGGGTGGCCCTGCCCCTACAGCACTTCCTGTGGTCACAGTCCTGATCACTTTTTTCTTGGGCAGGCTTTGCTCATTCCCAGCTTTCCTCAGACATTTTGCCTTCCACGCCTGTCTTAGTTACCTTACTCATTCCTGGGACAAAATACCTGACAACTACAATTTAAATGAGAGAAGTTTATTTTGGCTTACGGTTTGTAGAGGTTTCAGTCCATAGTGGGCTGGCTGCAAGGCAAGGCAGCAGGGCAGCAGGGCAGAGAAGAAATAGCTCATGGCGTGCAGATGGGAAACAGAAAGAGATCGAGGGAAGAGAGAAGGAGATACACTCTCCCAGGCCACACCCCCAAGACCCATCAGGCTTCATCTCCCCAATCACATTTACCTATAAACTTCTCAGTGGAGTAATTCACTGATGATCATCATGAGCCATGATCCAGTCACCTGGGGGCACATCTGGATAGAAATCAAAACAACCAGTTACCTTTGATGAATGTATTATGTATCATAAATGTATACTAATAAAGAGATAAGGGAGCAGTCCTAGGTAAAACACTTTTTAAAAAACCCTGTACACCATCTTCCCGTATACTTTAAATCATCTTTGCATGACTTGTAATACCTAGTGTAAGGTAAATGCTGTGGAAATAGTTGGTATACTGTTTTGTAGGGAGTAATGACAAGAAGATATGTCTGTACTTGTTCAGTACAGATGCAAGTTTTTAAAATATTTTTGATCTGCTATTGGTTGAATCTATAAATACAGAGCCCAAAGATCTGAGGGGCCAACTGTGTACGCACACACACACTAATTATTACTAAAAATTTTTCAGTTCTGCCATCAAGCAGTTCACAAATTAATCTATCTGAAGAGGTGTCAAAGATCAGGTTGTTGATGCATGCCTTTATTCCCAGCACTCTGGGAGGCTGAGGCAGGAGGACCACAAATTTGACCCTAACCTTGGTAACGAAGCAAGATTCTGAAAAATCTGTAAGAAATGGGGATATAGGGGCTGGGGATTTAGCTCAGTGGCACAGTGCCTGCCTGGCAAGCGCAAGGTCATGAGTTCAATTCCTGGTACCGAAAAAAACAAGCAAAAAAAAAAAAAAGAAATGGGGATATATCTCTATGAGAGCCCTAGGGTTCAGTCCTCAGTTCCCCCTGACACACACACACATACACACTGCTGAGGATGTAGCTCAGTGCAAAGGCTCTGGGTTCAATCCCCAAAAAGAGAAAATGAGGAAAAGAAAGAAAAAGAATCAGGTAGATGGGTATGCATTAACACTTAGACACTATTGCCTTTGAAGGTGAAGAACCCAGTTAACTTCAGTTGTCCAAGATAATGTACTTTTTGAGTGTAGGATGGAAAGTTTTCCCCTGGAAGCTTGACTGGTTTTGGCCATTTTTGTGGATTAGGATTTCTCCAAGTTGTCTCATTGCTTCATCTTTCAAGATGCTTGTGAAGGAAGGAAAGCTTTATGCAGATTTTGTTTTTGTTTTTGTTGAGATACTGTCTTGCTTTGTGCTTCAGACTGGGCTTGAACTGACTCACATAGCCCAGGCTGGCCTCAAACTGTTGGCAATCCTCCTGTCTCAGTCTCCTGAGTGCTGGGATTACAGGTGTGCACCACCATGCCCAGCGTATCCAGATTTTATTTGCTTGTCTGCCTGACTGAGATTTCCATGCTATTGTTCTTACAGAAAGCAATCTCATAATTTTCCTTCAGGAATTCCTTACCTAGTTTGTAAACACAGCTGACTAACTCATATGCATTATAGTTCTATGCATTGCTGTAGGGTTTTCTTTCCAGGGAAAAATATTGAAGCTACTTCTGGTTTTTTTTTCCCCACTGTGGTTCTGGGGATTGAAACCTGGGCCTTGTATATTCAAGGCAGGTACTGTACCACTGAGCTACCTCTTTGGCCCTTTTTATTTTATTTTGAGACAACTGCCCAGGCTAGCCTCCAACTCATGGTTTGCTTGCTGCAGCCTCCTGAGTAGCTGGAATTACAGATATGTGCCACCACACCTGGTTATATATTGATGCTTCTTTACATCTCCACAATTAAGGAAAATAACTCCGGGAACCATCATCAGTGACTTTCCTTTCTGCCTTTTTTATAGGAAGCCCCTTCTTCTCAGGACATCCTGGTGTTCCTCACTGGTCAGGAGGAGATTGAAGCCATGAGCAAGACCTGCCGAGACATTGCAAAGCACCTCCCGGACGGCTGCCCTGCGATGCTCGTCCTTCCTCTCTACGCCTCCCTGCCCTACGCACAGCAGCTCCGGGTCTTCCAAGGGGCCCCGAAGGTGAGCGCACCGCTTCTCTGTCCAGTCCCATCCCTGGCACCCAGTCGGATCCGCCAGTGTGGACTGTGTGCCTGTCACTGGGCTCCAGATAAGGTCCACTGGAGGGGACGCTCAGGTGCCCGTTCAGCTAGTGGAGAAAGTGAAAATGTAGGATATTGCCTGTGAGAAGTGCGGGGGAGCAGTTGTCAGGACAAGAAGAGGGGACAGTTGTCAGGGCATGAGGAAAGGCTGGCAGATAAGCGAGCGACTTGTGGAAGGGGTAGGAGAACGCACACTTGTCCACGGTGCCATTTATCGTGTGCCTCTGCCGTGCCAGGCAAGGTGCTAGCACTCGTATCCACTGTCTGTCATCCTCACTGACTCATGGGGTTCCCGTGCACTGAATCCCCTAGAGAAGAAGTAGGATTTGCTCAAGGAATACACAGTAAGAAACTGATAGGGCCACGATTCCAGCTCACATGTACTTCTCAATCTTGTGCTTGGTCCACTACATCTCATCATCTCAAAGTAACCTTTAGGACTACAGGATCATGCTGTCCTCCCACGGCCCAGTTTAATGACCAATAATTAATATTAGTCACTGCCATTAATAACAAAGTCATCTGTTCTGGATCATGAGTGAATTGTGGAAATTAATGGTGAGAATATGTTTTAAAACTTCTGAATCATATGTGTGTCATACGGCTTTTTGGTTTTCTTCCTCCTTTTAGGGCTATCGCAAAGTGATCATTTCAACCAACATCGCTGAAACCTCCATAACCATTACAGGAATAAAATATGTAGTTGACACGGGCATGGTTAAAGCAAAGAAGTATAACCCTGGTGAGAATTTGTAGCTCATGAATGTCTCTCCTGTGAATAGCAAGCAACCCCTGACACTGTAGTCCCACAGTCTTCCCCAAAATGAGCATTTCACGTTTGTAAGTAATTGAGGTAGGAGTGGCAGGGACCATAAGCGAGATGATGCCCAAGTAAAGTCCAAAAAGGAGACCTGAGGCAGGTATGTGAGACGAGAAGTCAAGACAAGAAAGAAGGGCTCGGGTTTAGCAAACTTGGGGACAGGGTCAGGAACCTGGGCAGAGGGCCTGCCAGCTCATCAAAAGGTGGGTAAGAACAATGGCTTGGAGACAAGGGACAGACTGATACTAATCAAAGGCTTTCGTGAAAAATAGTATTTGAGTGTAGCTGGTTTGTGCTCCCGAGTTCGCCAGGAAGGAAGCATACTCTGTAGGCTAGAATGAGGGACAGAGGGGGAAGCACCAGCAGTCTCCTGCGAACGTGCAGTGGCAGGCTCGCTTGAAGTCATCTGTACTCACTTCTGCTTTATACCTGGTTTATTCTACAGAGGATTTGAGGCAGCTGAAATTACTGCTTCTCAATACTTAAGTCCTCTACTAAGCGTTTGAAGGGCTGACTTTCACGGAGACACTGTACTCCTAGAGATACGTATGCTAAAGAGCGTGGGCCTGCAGTGCCTGGCACAGAACACACTTTTACTGAAAATGAGTACCATTTATTCCTAGGAAACAAACATGGTCTCTTCTCAGAAGCGGGAGGGAGGATAAAAAGTGCCTTGAGCCTTTCACTTTCTGAGTCATTGATTAATAGCATGACCAACCTCCGGCTGTGCAAGAAACCAGGAGTTGGCCCTGGAGGGCCCACGTCCAACAGACCTTCAGTCCCAGACAAACTGGGATGGTTGACCTGATCTAGCCGAGATCTGAAAACCACTCTTCTGATTCCTTGCTACAAGCGTAAAAAGCTCTTCGATGTTTTTGTGACAGATTTCACAGAGGGCTCCTTGCAAGGCCCTGGCTCACTATGGGGTCAACCCATTGCAGAGCAACCTGGTTTTGTGCTTTCTCGTTTAGCCTTGAGTTTTTCCAGACCCCTGTATTGCAGAAAGACTCACTGGTGGTATGAGAACCATTTCATTTTGTCAGCGCTGTAGAAACAGCTTGTTCATGTGATGAGCAAAGCACTCATGGGGCCCGTTCTCCCTCCAGACAGTGGTCTTGAGGTGTTAGCTGTGCAGCGGGTGTCAAAGACCCAGGCCTGGCAGCGCACAGGGAGGGCTGGCAGAGAGGACAGCGGTGTCTGTTACCGGCTCTACACTGAGGAGGAGTTTGAGAAGTTTGATAAGATGACGGTGCCAGAGATCCAAAGGTAGGCTCGAGCTACACCTGTCCAACCTTTCATCTCGGTGTCTCTTTCCTGTCTTGGGTTTTTATTTTTGTTTTTGTTTTGTCTTTTTGGGACAAAGTCTCCCTATGCAATTCAGGCTGGCATTGAGCTCACTTTGTAGCCCAGGCTGGTCTTGAACTCATAATGATCCTCCTGCCTCAGCCTCCCTGAGTGCTAGGATTACAGGCGTGCGCCACCACACCTGGCTTTGTCTTTCCTGTTTGCGCATGTTTTCCCAGAGCTGCAGTTTTCGCTAATACTCCTCAGTGAATGGGGCTGACTCACCAGCTGGTGGGTTGGAGACAAATGAGCAACCCTCGCCTCTCACTCTTCACAGGTGTAACCTTGCAAGTGTGATGTTGCAGCTCCTAGCAATGAAAGTTCCAAATGTGCTCACCTTTGACTTCATGGCCAAACCATCTCCAGGTGCGTGGAATCCTCAGCATTGCGGGAAGTGGAGGGATAGACAATTGCAAATCTTCTCTTTCTCAAAAAGTATTTTGAAAGAAAAATTATTTCAGTAATCTCCTTAGGCCCATTTAATTTGAGAGCTAGCAATATCAGAGAAACATCTCAAAGTCATGAAGTGACAGATTCTGTACTGCTGACCACGTCATATTCCATGAGATTCTGCAGAAACCTAATGAAGGGATACTTTCATCAGCAGGATAGCAAAAGATCAGTTTCTCTGCTTTTACTTGGAATATGGCTGCTCCCTGCCCTTCTCTGTGGAGGAACTCTGAATAATGGTAGCATTGGCACTTGGCCTCTTACCAGTATACTATATTCCCTTTTCTTTTTAGTGCCAAGCATTGAACCTAGGGCCTGTTCCCTGAGCTACACCCTGACCTTTTTTTTACTTTGAGACAGGGTCTCACTAAGTTGCCCAGGCTGGTGTGGAAGTTGTGATCCTCCCGCCTCAGCCTCCCAGAGATACAATTGTTGAAGAAGGAGAGGCAGAAATAAAGGGGAGATAAAGTAAACACGTGCTGGGTATATAAGGGTCCCACTCTATCCTCAGGTTTAGTGTTCCTCCCATGGAACACTCTCTGGCCATTTGCTGGTTATCTTCTACACATATCCAAGTATATACAGTTTCTTAAAAACACAAAGAGCAATACATACCATGCACATACTGTGCACTGCTCTACACTTGTTTTTTTCTTTTCATGACTTAACTCTTACAAAGGAGTAATGACATGTAAGGTGCAAGGAGTTATAAAGCCAGCATCTCTGTATTTATTACCAGTTCCATGGTGTTTTAATTACTTCCCTCTTGTTGCTGAGACAAATACCCAACTGCTAAAGTTAAAGGGGGAAAGGTTTATTTGGCTCACAGTTGTGTAGGTTTCAGTCCATAATCAGCTGGCTCCAAGGCAGGGTGGCACGTGGCAGATGGGCAGCAGCTTGTGGTGGAAGTCAGCAAAAGCAGTAAGAGAAAGAGACAGAGAGAAACCTCTTTCTGTCCCTTATATCCAGTCTGCCAATCCAGTCAGCAGAGGGATGCAGCAATTCCCCCACCTTTAATCCCAGCATTGCACTGCAAATCAGTCGTGCACTGTAGATTCGGCCTCCTCCAAAAAAACTCTGTGACAGCATGATGCCATGGGGGTACATCTAGACACAAACTAACACATGGAAACACCCCAGGGCCCCTCCTGGCCAGCCTTGCCGCCTGACTACTCCTTCAGGCTAACTACTCGCCCATATTTTCTTTATAATTCTCTTGGTCTTTTTTTTTCTCTTTTACAGTAATGAAGATTCAACCCACGACCTTCACACTGTACTACATTCTCCCCAGTTCTTTCTTTTGTTTGTGTTTTATTTTGAGACAGGGTCTCACTAAGCTGCCCATGTGGGACTTGGGCCTTGGATCCTCCTCCTTCAGCTTCCCAAGTACTGGGATTACAAGTGTGTGCCACAGCACCCAGCTCTTGTTCTTTTTTCGTGGTGTCATTAACAGCTTTGAAAAGTGTGTCGGGGCCAGTGGGAGAGTGCTCTTTGCTGGTATTTGCTGTAGGGTTATCGAAAACTTGAGTATGGAACTGGCTGTGACACCTTCCTGTTTGACGTTTTGGCTCCTTTTTGTCTTTTTCTTTAGATCACATTCAGGCGGCCATTGCCCAGCTGGACCTGTTAGGTGCTCTGGAACATAAGGATGACCAACTGACCCTGACTCCAATTGGAAGAAAGATGGCGGCATTTCCTTTAGAACCCAAATTTGCCAAAGTAAATGATACCTTCTCCTCAGTCCCCTTTTGGTACCTGACAGTGTAGCCATCCCAAGTGAGCATCTGTGCCCAGGGTATCTACACTGATTCATTTACTTGTTCTCTTAAGTGTTCATTGGCCCCCACTTTGTATATAACACTGATTTATGTTGTGTGTGGGCTTCAGTCATAAGTCATGGGCCCTGCCTGCAGGCACAGGAAGCCTGTGGGGAAAGCAGACATCTGTCTTACAAAAAAGTGAAATGACAGTGGCATGTAGATCATGGTTTTACGAATAAGTAGAGGGGAGCCGGATGTGATGGTGCATGCCTGTAACCTTAGTACTCCGGAGGCTGAGGCAGGAGGATTGTTGTGAGCTCGAGACCAGCCTGAACTGCATAGCAAGACCCTGTCTCAAAAGACAAAAAAAAAATTAAACCAAATAAGGAAGAAAGAAGTTGATGGGAGAGGAAAGGAATGGGAAAAAAAAGAAGCAAGATTTGTAATGTACAGGTATAGATTCCCTATGGTGAATGTGGTCATTATATATATCTAAAGTGTACCAATAAAAATAAAAAAAGTAATGGTCTTAGAGACACTTGCCCTTTAACTCCTTAGAAAGGAAGCTATAGGGGCTGGGGATTTAGCTCAGCGGCAAAAGCGCCTGCCTGGCAAGCGCAGGGTCATGAGTTCGGTTCCCGGTACCGGAGAAAAACAACAACAACAACAAAAAATAATAATAAGAAGAAAGGAAGCTATAAAAGGATAGAAGTGCCATATTCTGAAAACAGGAGAAAACTTGGTTTACATATTTTTAAATTTTGCTTTTCAGACCATCCTCCTGTCTCCCAAATTCCACTGCACAGAGGAGATTCTGACTATTGTTTCTCTGCTGTCCGTGGACAGTGTACTCTACAACCCGCCTGCCCGGCGGGATGAAGTGCAGAGTGTCCGGAAGAAGTTCATTTCCAGTGAGGGGGATCACATTACCCTGCTCAATGTCTATCGGACCTTCAAAAACATAGGTGGAAACAAGGTGAGCCCTGTCTTATTCCTTTTCTCAAATGATTGCTCTTTCTTTCAGGCATGTGTTTTGGTTGTAGCCCAGCTGGTCTTGAAATCACAGTGATCCTCCTGCCTTAGCCTCCAGAGTAGTAGGATTACAGTCATGCTCCAGTATGCCCAGCTCAGGCATGTGTTTTTAAGTACCCCTTTCTATTTTGCCAAGTCATCTGAAAAATCATAGAAAGAATGTCAGATGTCATTTCAGAAGTACCAGTACTGGGAGACACCAGGGAAGGAGTGTAATTCTGGCCTTTGTTCTGCTTTTGTTTAACACATACTTGATGGACAGGTTAGTAAGTATTTGGTGACTCAGTTTCTTAGCTAGTGTATTGGTCTGTTTCTTGTGAATATAATGAAATACCTGAGGCAGGCTACTTTATAAAGAAAAGGGATTTATTTTGTCTCACAGTTTTATTTTGTTTTTTTTAAAAAGGCGAAAGATTTGTATGATCTGAAGAGAAACCAGAGTATGTTTTGTTTTTTTTTTGAGACAGTGTCTCACCATGTAGTACAGGCTGGCCTTGAACTCATGGTGATCTTCATGCCTCAACCTTGTGAGATCTGGGATCTTGGGCATGTACCACCAAACCCGGCTCATGTTTTTCAAATAGGGTCTCACTATATAGTTCAGGCTGGCCTTGAACTCACTGTAATCCTCCTGCCTCAGCTAAGCATCTGTCACCATGCCTGGCTTGACATACAGTTTTGGAGGTGCAAGATCTGCACGCCTTGTTTGGTAATGGCCTTCTTCTGGCAGAACTCTGAGTGGTGCAGAAGATCACATAGCAAGACAAGGAGAGTGTGTGTGTGTGTGTGTGTGTGTGTGTGTGTGTGTGTGTGTGTGTACGCACGCGCGCACACACACGCGCCTGACCTGTCTTCTGAGAAAACCACTGAGCTTCAATGACAGAGATTCCACTCTAATGGCCTTATATAAACCTAATTGAAGTCTTGGAGAACATTTAAACCATACCCAAAGCATAACAGCCACAAGATGAGTATTTTTCTCCTACCTACCCCAACTTTGTCAACACTCATTTTTGCTGTATGATGTTTCAGTTCTCTATTCAAAGATGGGATATATTCTAATAAAGTCAGTGATTATACCATAGCATTGGCTTTTATTTAAAAACTGCCTTGTTTTTAGCCTTGATAAACTTTTTGCTATATTTACCTCTCTTTTTTCTATTTTCAGTACCTGAGATTAAACCTAGGGACTCTCACATGCTAGGCTCTGTCAGGGAGCTCTACTACTGAGCTATGTCCCCATCCCTCAATTTATTTTTAAGCAAATAAAATGCTGTTGATACAATGAAAGCACCAAATCCTTCCTCCCTTACTGAGCACTGTCCTGCTGCACTGCAGCCCCTTCAGCAAGAGTATGCTTCTGCCTCATCCCCTCCAGTGTTCCATGCTAAGAATATCAGTATTGTCATATATATATAATTATTATCATTATTCTTTGCATAGAAATGCAAGGATTATGATGGCTCTGTTTTTCCTGTGCAGGACTGGTGCAAAGAGAATTTCGTCAATAGCAAGAATATGATGCTAGTAGCTGAAGTCAGAGCACAGCTGAGGGAAATCTGCTTAAAGGTACTGTCTGCCCCTCGTGTTCTGCAGGGAACTAAACGCTCACTTTTTGCTAGTGGAAAATTTTTAGATTGTTCATTACAAGTGATGATAAAGGAAACTCTCGTAGAAAAATTTAAAACTAAGAAGTAAAAATTACTCATCATTTTATCTCTCACTATTTTGGTCTATTGCCTAATAGCCCATTTTTGTTTGTTTTTTAATTTCCTTTTGTACATAATCACATAATTGTATATACAATTTATGTTGAATTTTATAAACTTTTTTTTTTTGAAGTGCTAGCAATTGAACCCAGGGCCTCACACATCAGTTGTGTATCTTTTATAAGCATTTTCCAATGTTATTAGAATTTTTCCTAAGAATGCTTCCCAAGCCTTTTGTGGATGTACAGTATCTTCGTTATTTTCTTCAAATCACAAAAGTAATGCATAGTCACTAAATACTGATAGGGCACAGAACTGTTTATATGCAGAAAGCTTAGTAGTCTCTTGTTATACTGCCCCTTTGGAGTTAGCCACTGTCTGTGTCCACCTGGATGTCTATAAGAAATTTTCCTTTTAAGACAAACAGGATGTATATTACTCTGCAACATGCTTGTTTCCACCTGATACACTTCTTGAATATGTGGCATAGCTAAAACATCTTTCATTGTCTTCGTATGTCTATCCCATTCCTTTTCATGACTTCATAGCATCCTGTTGTATTTATTACAGTTTTTTAATACACCCCCTAGAGTGACCATATAGGTTATATTTTAATGACCATCTTCCTACACACACACACGCACACGCACACGCGCGCGCAGCCCAGAGAATACATGCTTTAAAGCCCTGTCCTGGTCTGTTCCATGGTTGTATGACACTTCGCATGTTATGTAACAGGTGGAGAGTAGTTTATGTGAGCATTCTCATGCTGGCCAAGCACTGAAATACGTCCAAATTTTTGCCATCGTAAACAGCTCTGTGGTGAATGTCTTTACGCGTAAGGCCTCTTCTGAGACCGTATCCTCAGTGCAGACTGTGCCGTGATCCTAGGAGCCTGTGTGTGATGCCCACCCCGACAATAAGTAGCACCACAGCTGGCTCTTCTCAGCCTGTTTGTAAGCCGTGTCTTATATATTTGTCCAAACTCCACTTATGCTTGAACAGTTTTCCTGCCAGTGTGTTAGTTTTTTGAGTTTTCTCTACTTGTGATTGGCATTAGAAATAGTGCTTCTCTATTAGTTGTGGACATAGAGGCCAACAGTGCCTCTTTATATGGCAGGTGCTAGTCGGGGTCCTTGGACTTCGCAGACTTGCCTACACCTGAGTCTTAAGGCACAGTCTGGAAGGACAGTCTGACATACAGGGACACAGATAGTTACCATAATCACTACCACTTACGAGGGATTCACTCAATTGTAAACACCTTTTCATGGGGGTGTGTTAGTTAAAAATCCTCATTTTGCTCCATAAAGCTGATTCTGTTATTCTCATTTTACAAATGATGAGGCCAGGCGTGGTGGCCCATGCCTGTACTCCCAGCACTGAGAAGGCTGAGACAGGAGGATAAACCCCCACGAGTTCAAAGCCAGACTGAACTACATAATGACCCCTGTTTGTTTTTTTTTTTAAAAAAGCTAAAGCTAATATTAAGCTACTTATGTATAGACATTCCTCATTTAATGACTAGGTTTCATTCCTGCGACTAGGTCATTCAGTGCATTGGTTGCTAAATGAGGAATTGTATCTAGTGTACATTACAATATTCAGAACAAAGAAATGGTCAAGGGAAACTCCAACTTGATGACTTTGCTTTTATCTGCATATCTCTTACATGCAGTGCTGTAATATGTCACACAACATAAAGCTACAGTACTGTATGGTACAGTTAGCAAAAATTACGGTACTCTATAAACAAGGTACTGTGCAAAAAAGACACTGAGGCTGTATAATCAAAATGTACAAAAGTGTACCACAAAAAAACAACAGGTTGAACATCTGAATAGTCATTAAACAGGCAGGTCGTTAAACGAGGAATAACTATAATTTTCAACTGTAATTTGTCCCAAGTGGGCATAGTGGCACATGCCTGTAATCCTGGTACTGAGGGAAGCTGAGGGGGTTGGCAAGTTCCAGTCCTGTCTGGGCAATTTAGCAAGACTGTCTCAACATAAAAACTAAAAATCAGGGGATGTTGCTCAGGAGTAGCGCACCCCTGAATTCTGTCTCCAGTACGAGAAGGAGGGGTGAGAGGCAGTTTGTACTGAATTACACAACCTGTGAAGGGTGGAATTGGCAGTGTGGAAGGAGAACCTGCCAGTTAGTCTCTGAGGCTTCCTGAAAGTGGTGGCAAGTGAGCTGCTTTTTTTTTCTTTTCTTTAATGTTGATACTGGGGATAAAACCTAGTGCCTTGTGCATGCTGTCAAGTGCTTTACTACTGAGCTATGTCCCAGCCCTTCTCTTTTTTTTTGGTCTTTCTAAGATAAGGTTCCGCTATGCAGTTCAGGCTGGCCTTGAACTCACTTTCTAGCACAGGCTGGCCTCAAACTCAGCGAGCCTCCTGCCTCAGCCTCCCGAGTGCTGGGATTACAGGCATGCACCACCACACCCAGATCCCAACCCTTGAGCTACATTGTGACAGTTGAGATAAGGACAAGAAACAAAAATAAAAAAATAAACGTGCCAAACATAAAAGCCCTTGAGTTAATGGAAAGAAAGAACTGGGGATTGTTTTAAGGATAAAGAGGGGTCTGTTGGAATCTATGAACAGGTAAGAGTCACTGCACTGCAGTGACTAGAAAAAGCCATCTAGAGCTAAGGCCACTTCCGGTAGGCCTGCCGGACTTCTCACCCCGACTGCTCTTTGCATGCTTCCTTCCTTCCTCCTGCCTTCGGCCTCCACATGCACACAGTTGGTTTCCTGGCATTTCTGCTTGGGAGCCTGGCAGAGAATGATTCCATTTCCCATTTTTGACCTAAATACTCGGTGATTCGCCTGCTTGGGCAGCAGGGCCACCCTCTGTTCTGTTGGCCTGTTGCGCTGTGACCAGTGGCGTGAGGTCCCGTGACCCACCCAGCAGGAGCCTAGAGGGAGGACTCCGCCCTTGCCACTGTGGAGATGAGGGCCGCATTTCTACTCAGAGCAGGGCGAGTGGAAGGCCAGACGGGACTCACCACACTGGTCTGGAGAAGAAAGGCAGTTGGCTGTGGGGACCGTAGGGTGCCTGCGGTGGGAGAGAAGCAGGCACGGGGGCGCCCTGTGGGGCTCATTCCTGGTGTCACCTTGGGAAAGTTGCATTGTTTTACAAAGAGCAGTAGAGGCACTGAAGGCCTTCAGAGGATGGAGGATTTGAGTTCTGCTTCAGGAAGATTAATTTTGCGTCGCAGACGAGGTGATGTGGACTGAGGCAATGATGCAGAGGTCGCAGTGAGGAGGGGAGGGCTTTTCTTCCAAGGAGAGTGTTAGGGGAGGGTGTGGGTTACCCAGCCTGCCTGTGGTCTGCTAGCTGTGTAAATCTCCCTCCCAGTCAGGTGTTTTCCCGGTTTCACCCCCACCCATGCTCGTACCTGAGGCGATGGAGGTAACCGCCTGTGAATATCAGAATCTACTTTGTCAGGCTGGCATTTTAGGGCGGCTTGTTCTAACACGCTGTGTAGTGCTGAGCAGGACTTACGTTTGGGGTCCTCCCTTGTCTCACTGTCTCCTAACACAGATGTCCATGCCAGTTGTGTCATCGAGAGGAGACATGGAGAGCGTCCGCCGCTGCCTGGCTCATAGCCTCTTCATGAGCACTGCCGAGCTGCAGCCTGATGGTACCTATGCCACCACGGACACCCACCAGCCAGTGGCCATCCATCCGTCGTCTGTCCTCTTCCACTGCAAGCCGGCCTGTGTCGTGTACACCGAGCTGCTCTACACCAACAAGTGCTACATGCGGGACCTCTGCGTGGTGGACGCTGAGTGGCTGTACGAAGCTGCCCCAGAGTACTTCCGGAGGAAGCTAAGGACCGCCAGAAGCTGAGCCATCCAGGAGGCCCCCGGATGGCTGGTGACTGGAGCTGGAACCATGGCTGTCCTCGTAGCTAACTGCCGGGTTAGCACCTAGAGAAGCTGCAAGTGTCCCTGCAGCTGAATGTGCTGACTTCCAGGAGCCTGAAAACATCTTTCCTTAAACTCAGACTGAACTGTGTAGACGTGTACACATCATTTATACCTTGGAGACTTCAGAGTTATACTTTTGGTTCTTGCTGGGTGACTTTGGGTAACTTAATTAATTTGTGAGCCTCATTTTTCTCATCTGCCAAATGGGGGATATTAACCATAGCACTTGGCTCATGAAGTCTAGAGAACATGATTGGAAAATCCTCAGGGCTCTACCTGGCATAGGACAGACATAAGGTGAATTATGAGTCATGTATAAAGGCATTGCTTTCTACATGGTAATGTGAATTAAGCGGTACAACAAAATCTTCTGAGTTCAGCTGGGCATAGTAGTGCACACCTATAATCACAGCACTCGGGAGGCTGAGGCAGGAGGATCACTGGGAGTGTGAAGCCAGTCTGGGCTACAAAGTGTGTTCAAAGCCTGCTTGAATTGCATAGTGAAACCCTGTCTCAAAAAGACAAAAAAAAAAAAAAATCTCCTGAGTTCATGTGACTGAATGAGATTTTCTAGAAGGGGGCCATAGAAAGTCTCAGAACTTGGATGTTGTTCTTGATTCTACTTTACCTTTTTTTTTGGTGGTGCTGGGGATTGAACCTAGGGTCGTGTGTGTGTGTGTGTGTGTGTGTGTGTGTGTGTGTGTGTGTGGCAGGTTTTCTACCACTGTGCCACACGCTTAGCTCTGTTTTTTTAAAAATTAATTTTATCGATACATTTTAGATATACGAAATGGTAGCATTCATCATAGAGAATTTGTACCTGTACAGGGTGTATCTTGCCGCTGCTTTTTTTCTCCTTCCCCCGCTTCAGTCCTTCTTCCCCTCATTTACAGAAGCTTTGTTTCCATGTTTTCCCTTCTATTCCTTCTTTTCTTGTCCCTTTTCTTTCCCCCTCCTTCCTCTCGCTCTCCTCATTTGAACATTTTCTCCCTATCCCAGTATCTGTTTTATATGTTGGTCCTTATTTTCACTTTTGGTTTCTCATACCCAAGAAATAATGCAGTATTTAAACATGTGTCCAGTTTATTTTACTGAAGAGTGTGGTTCCCTTGATTCTATTTTAATGTCTACCTGTATGAAGCTTTAAAATAGAAAACATAAGACATTTCAGGAGGGAGGTGCTGCTGCCTCCTTCCCCCGGGATGGCTGTCCCGCCCTGCCGAACCTCACGCGTAGGGTGTGGATGGCTGTTTGTCTCCAGGCAGAGACCAGTGATGGGGTCTCTTGGTCCTCGGTGCCTCTGTGATGCAAGTTCCCATCAGTGCTGTCAGGGATGTGTAAGTTTTCTAGGCGAAGGCTGATTTGTACCTTCTGAGTCGTACCAGCTGTAGATGTGGGAAACCAGCATCCTCCAAACCCAGCTGTCATTTTGTCTTTAGCTGGGCACTTACAGAAGTACACGCATGAGGGATAATTTCATGCTTCATTTCAGCCGTTTCTCTTCAGGCAGGGGTACTGGCTAGGGCCGTTGGGCGAGGGAGAGGAGAGAAACGAGATGTGTGATCAGTGAAAATTCAAGAGCATTGGCTCGTCGCATCCACCACAGCTGGTCTTTATCTTCTTACTGATTTGCTGCAGTCTGTCTTCCTTCTCCATAGATCTTTCGGGACAGTTTGGATTTGCTAGCTCCTGCCTGCATCAGGCACCTCTCATTCTTTTTGTTGCTTACTGTTGGGAAAATACATGAAAGGTTCTTTTAGCTAGTTAGTTATCAAAAATAAGCGGTCTTTCCCCATCGTCTTTGGAATTAAAGAAAGTAAGATTTAGCCTTATTATTGTGCTCATTTGGTCCAATTATAAATGAAGTCTGTGGTGGTGGGGCACATGCCTGTAATCCCAGCACTCTGGAGGCTGTGACAGGAGGATTACGAGTTGATATCCAGCCTGACCTTCATAATGAGATCTTGTCTAAAAAAAAGACCAAAAAAAAGTTATATATATATATATATATATATATATTTAGTATATGTATATGGAAGCTGGGTGTAGTGGCACATGTCTGTAATCCCAGCACTCTGGAGGGTGAGGCAGGAAGAGCACCATGAGATCCAGGCCAGCCTGGGCTGCATAGTGAGGATAAGGAACCTTTCCATGGTGGGTCTCATTGGTCTACAGTTGTGTTAGGTCAAGTCTGAGCCAGTCTCCATAAGAACTAGCTGTGGTCTTGAACAGCCATATTTTTAGCCAGTGTTTAAGGTTGTCTGGCACTTGTGATTTATTTCTGTTAGAAATGGGTACATTTAGGCTAAATGGGGTTTGACAGATCCTATATACCTTATCTTAGGGAATCATTGAACTTTGAACTGGTTCTTCACAGATCAGTTTATTCTTACCATTCCTAATTTTCTGAAAAGTTCTCCAGAAAGGTTTTTTTTTTTTCCTTTTAAGTATATTATTTGCATTCATAATAGGATGCAAGGATGGGTAGCCTGACACATTTTAAAGAAAATTTTGTATTTTTAAGAGAACATTCATCATGCTGGTAAAAAAAAAAAAAGTTGGGCAATTTGGTCCTCAGCAATTAGTCATTTTCCTCATGTGTTCTCAACCAGTTAGCTAACCGTGTTCTCCAGGTCGAGGAAGACTTAACTCGGAGTAATTTACGTCCAGTTTCAGTACCTGGACATTGTTTGGAAATGTATGTGTATTCTTCTCTGAGGAGTAAAGCACGTAAGCAGCTTCTGAGTAGCTTTAATGTTTCTGTATAGAAATGTTTATCACTGTAACATTGTAGAATTTTAATATAGTACTTAGTTTTTTATTGGGCCTTTTTGAAAAGTTGATTTTTAACATAGCTGCTCAGGGATTAAATCAGATGGAAAACCCATTCTGACTCCACATGTTACTACAATGAAATAAGTGGTTATTTTACTGAGCTTCACGGGGGTTAGTACACTTTAAATTTTCTTAAAGAAGGTTAAATGTTTCACAATAACGCAATACAATCCAGAGCTGTTCTTTTTCAATTAGTGAAATCTCTGCTGGTGTGATACCTCTCTTCCCACCTGTAGAGTCTGTATGTGTGTGAATCACTAGCTCCCTCCAGCAGCTTCCCGTGGACAGATGCACCCAAGCGACCCTGCGTGCCTCCCCTGGTGTTCGTCTTTAGTGCCAGTAATTACAGAGTGTCAGACACCTGGAGTAACACTTCTTTCCTTCCAGAGGGAAGGGCTATGAACACCAGGGCTTCGGTGAAAATCCGGATTGCTGCAGCTCTGCTAGTTGAAAAGATGCCAGAATGGGAGCAAGTCTTGGCTGTGTGTGTAAAAGTGCTTATTTGCTGTGATATGAATCCAACTACTCGAGCCCCCTAGAACTGCGGCCGTGCATCTAAGAGCTTGTTGCTTGAATATATGCAGATACGCTGCACTTGTGGGGAAACAATTTTATTGTACTGTATTTGATAGTTTAATTTGCAGAAGGAACGAGGGAGAAAAAAGTTGATTTAAGTTTATGTTGTATTTTGAGTCTGGTCTTAATTCAGACAACTCTGTAAACACCAGCTCTTGTATGTAATGCTGAAATTTGCACTTGACTGTCAAATCCATAAAAATGAATCTTGTACACAACAATGTGCAGCTTCTTTGTTGGGTCTCCTTTCCCTTATTCACAGAAAGCTTTTTAGGAACCGTTAAGTATTAGTCTTACTATTGCCACTAATTTGGTAAGCCATAGTTTCTTGGTAGCTTATATATCCTGTGTATCCTGGGAAGACAGTAGGATTGGTTTTGTTTGGTTTTGTTTGGTTTTGTTGAGACAGGGTCTCACGCCGGGCATGGTGGTGCATGCCTGTGATCCCAGCACTCAGGAGGCTGAGGTAGGAGGATGGTTGCAAGTTCGAGACCAGCCAGGCTACAA